TTATATGTATAAAATTCACATTTTATAACTTCAAATTTGTCTTGGTAATCCAAATTTAAAACCAAAATTTATCTTCAACATTCATATTTTCATTTCTGATTTGGTTCATTTTTGACCCTTGAGTAAACATTTCACCACCTATAGTGATTCCATTCTGATATATTTATGCTTATTTAAATACCATAAAATGGGAACAATTCGAAGCTTACATGGATGATATTGAATTAGTTGTTCTCTAAGGAACCGCTTGGTATTTTAATTGAGGAGATTTCGTCGCCATCCTTCGAAACAACATCTACTCCGCATAGGTTTCAGTGTGAAATGAACTCATTTGAATTCGCCATCATTGATGATATAATTGTATCTCCTAATAAACATTGTCACGACTGGTTGTTAATGCACGTGCCCATTGATTATTTTGATTCACTCGGAATTTGAACTCATTTGTCATGTGATTGACTTTCTATTAGCTAGTAAATTCGATCTCTATAGTAATGGATGCTAGTTAATTGCTGGCTGATTCACTTGAGTACCAGGCTTCTAGAAACAACCTGACTGCATGTTTAGTGTTTCCAACTGCCTTTACGATTTCTACATTATCTCAGTCCAGTTGGTGTCTGTATGAGATTATTCATAAGCATTGATAAGAAAGAATATATGTAGTGCCTTTTCACAGGTAATTTGTCTTCTTGGATTATGAGTTGAACGGGACATCCATTGTCACCAATGTAATGTCTGTTACAGTTCATGCATGCAATTTATTTTGTAAATGGTATTGATTTGATGTACTTCATCTGTTGGATCTTTTGGTTTTTACAATATCGAGTGAGGCGTAACTGTGTTGCTTGGCTAGCTGGTTGATTGTTTGGCTGGTTTGCATGCTATATCTGTTTTGAACGGTCTTAATAGTCTAGCTGTTATTTCAGAGATATTCTTTATATGTATAGATGTAGCACACAAGCCATCCTCCATCCAGCCAGCCAGCCATCAAACACAATCACACTTCATTCTGTGCTCTGCAGACCGAAAATTTTAACAAAAAAAGAAGATTAATTATTACCATTTACAAAATAAATTGCATGCATCAACTGTGATAAATATTAGATCGGTGAAAGTGAGCATTCCCTTTGTATGTGAATCCAGGAAGACAAATTACCTGTAAAAAAGCACTACATATATTTCTACTTATCAATGCTTGTAAATAATTCCTATTATTATTATTATTATTATTATTATTATTATTATTATTGTATCCTTTAGTTCCTAGAGGAACATAGGGCTTCAGCTGCGCACCTCCATTGCCTTCTGTTTTCTGCTAACTTTTTTACCCCCCTCCAAGTCTGCCCACATGCTTTCATTTCCTCTTCACATGACCTCCTCCAAGTCACCCTCGCACTGACAACCGACTCATCACTTCCCTTTCGGGCTCCACTCGAGCAATGGCTTGTCTAGTGATGTCACTTGATGGTTTGTTTTCTCATAGTATGGCCAGCCAATCCATCTCCATTTCTTCCTGCCTATTTGTTTCACAATCGGTTCCTGCTGCGTTGGTTCACTCCCAGAGATCCCTGTTTCTGATCTTTTCTGACCAGCCATCTGACCTTGAGTATTGAGTGAAGACAACTGTTAATGGAGGTCTGAATTTTGTTTGACATGCTCTTTGTGACGCGTCAAGTCTCTCATCCGTATAGTGAGTAGCACTGACTGACTTCACATTGGAGTTGAAAATCCGGATCTTATTTTTGAGTCTGAGTGCTGTTGACATCCAAACAGACTTAAGAGTAATGAAAGCTTGTCTTCCTTTTTCGATTCTGGCTTTGACATCCTCGTCAGTTCCGTCAGCGTGTAGTTGAAACGATGCTTCCTAGGTAGGTAGGTGGGTAGGTGAAGGAGATCGCTTATTTCAGATTTCTCCCGTTTATGGTGGCTGATTGTTGTCTGTTGTTGTTGTTGTTGCTGTTGGTGTTGGCCAGGAATCTTCATCACCTCTGTTTTCTGTATGTTCACCTGAAGTCCTATCTTTGATGCTTCTTCCATCGCCAACTTGTTGCTTTTTACTTGCATATCTTCCAGTTTGTGGGAAATCAGACATTTATCATCGGTGAAGTCCAGATCCTCCAAGTCTTTTGTGTGAGTTCATTTTATGCCTGTTTCCTCATTGCCCGTTATCTGTCGCATTATCCAATCTACTGCAATCACGAAAATCATTGGTGAGAGTAGGCAGCCTTGTCTCACTCCCGTCCTTACTTCGAAGGCTTCCGTAAGTTTCCTGTTGTGGATTACTTATTGTCGTACAACCGTTGAATGAGATGTATAATTGTCGGCGGCACCACTTGGTAGTAGCGAAGTAGTTTCCAAATCACCTCTCGACGGACGCTGTGCTATCGAAGGCCTTTTCAAAGTCGATGAAGTTGAGATAGAGGGGTGACTGCCATTCCAAGCTTTATTCAATGATGATCCGTAGGGTGGCGATTTGATCAATACATGACTTGTTTCTCCTGAATCGTAAACGCAGTTGGAAACACTAAACATACAGTCAGGTTGTTTCTAGAAGCCTGGTACTCAAGTGAATCAGCCAGCAATTAACTAGCATCCATTACTATAGAGATCGAATTTACTAGCTAATAGAAAGTCAATCACATGACAAGTGAGTTCAAATTCCGTATTAGTCTGTTTATTAGATGTATCACACACTGGTGTGAAACAGTATTATTACATACTGGGTGACAAGGTTTCGAACACAAACTATTATTGTTCATAATCATTCCATCAATTATAATCACACCACTTCGATACTTGAGTTTTATAGTTTTCTTTGCTTTCTCCTATTTGTCGTCGTGGCGGAAGTGGAATTTTCCAGATATCTAACTGGACAAGTGTTGAGTCATTCCTATTACACGTATTTTCATTAAGTTGATTCGATAAGCAAAGCTTCTGTTGTTATCAATCTCTCCCTCCACCCTGTGACATAAGTTTTTATAACTTTCATTTTATCCCACCTATCCTAATGGCCTCCAAAGCCTCAGGATGTTCGGGGGCGGGTGCCTTGCGCTGCGGGTTGGCCACCCCTCCGCACACCTCCTGAAATGCTCCCATATGACCGGGCGTCTTACATAGCCTCTCCTGAGGAAGTCCTACTCACTGCCTTCACGTGGCGGAGGTGTTTCTCACCAAAGTGAGAGGGCAAAAGCGGGTGCCCGGCGCTCTCCACCGGGTTGACTGTCCATTGGATGACGGTCTAGGGGAGATGGCTAAACCCCGATTCCAAACCTCCAACGACTGGCGTATGAAGCTCACTGGAGCTCACCGGCAGACGTATGGACAAAGGGTTTGTTGGATGTCCTGTATGTCTGGCCCCATTCAAAAAGGCGTATGGACCGAACTCCGGTCACCGGCTGCCAATGGATAGTGGACTCCTTACTCCGCTCCTACTGCCTTGTAGGTCACACTTGGCTGTGTAAAGGCTAGAGCTGCACTCTCAAACAAAAGGCCGAGCGATGCTGGGACATCACTCGTACCAAATTCCCATGAAACTTCATGAACTCTCTTACAAATTGCCGCGCCTGGGCAGCGATGATTCGAGACGTTCATGAAGCCGGCTCATCCTCCCGTAGGAGATAGCCGAAGTAAAGTAAAGTAAGTAAGTAGTACCTATCCTAATGTATGGTTGTGTGTGACTGCATACAGTGAGTGGTATAGCTGAACTATTCTCTAGATTTCTTATCTTACTCGGGTCAACTAATCTAGATTTTGGTAGGTTTTTATACTCGGCCAGTCTGACTGCCCCTGTTCTACTACTTTGACCTATGTATTTGACCTGACAATCATCGCAGACAGAGTATTAGATAAACTAGATTGTTTTTTCTAACTAGCTCCATAGGACTGATCCTTTAACCAACAAAGCTTGTTTCTAGTTGAGTTTGTGGGTGGTTTGAATGCCAGCAACTTTTATTCCTGCCTTGTTAGAAATTCTGGGTATGGTTTCCGAGGTTTCTTCCTTGTACAGAAGCACTACTGATGATTTAGATTCCTTATTGTTGGTGTTCTCATTAACTTGCGCACTTTTGACATGCATGTCGTCATTAACCAAAACTGTGTTTTCTCAAACCAACAGAAAATACGTGTAATAGGAATGATTCAACGCCTCTCCTCCAAAACATCTGGAAAATTCTACTACCCCAATGACGACAAATAGGAGAGAACAAAGAAAACTACAAAACTCAAGTTATGAAGTAGTGTGATTATAATTGATGATATGATTATGAGCAGTAATAAATTTTGTTCGAAACCTTGTCATCCAATATGTAATAATGCTGTTTCACACTGTGTGTGATACATTCAATAAATAAACTTATATGGAATTACTTACTAATACAGTGTCCAAGTTTTACACATATATTGACAGTTGAAATTCCTAGTGAATCAAAATGATCAACACAGATGTAAATCAACAACCAATCACAACAAAGACGGTTGTCATGAGATACAAATATGTCATCATTCATGGGTAATTCAAATAAGTTGATGGTTTATATTAAAGCTTTCACTGCAGTAGTATTGTCTAGAAGGTGGATAACAAGAATTTTGCAATTAAAATAACCAGCTTCTCATAGAGCACAATCAATTCGATGTTAACCACTTCAGCCACAAATTTTCTCGATTACTTCAGAAGGAGTGGTTCGTCGGTGGTATAGCGGTTCGGACGCTCGCCAACCATGCACATGGTTCGGGTTCGATCCCCGGCTACCAACACACTCCTTTACCTCGCTAAGCCAGAAATAATGCTGGTAAAGAGGAAAGGTTGGACATGAGGCTAGCAACCTCATCCTGTAAAATAAACACTGCCACAGAAACTTCAAGCCACTAGCCTGAAGCCCCCTATGTTCCACTGATGAACATGAAGGAAAAAAAATTCAAAGTGGCAGTATTCACTTAGTATACAATATTACTATTTTAAACTGAACTGAAAACAAAATAAAATTGAAAATTGATGGACTCACCTTTTCAAAATGATCAAAAAGGTAAGCTATACATCTTGGTATAATACCTCTTTCTGAGTATTTCTCTGCACCACCTGTAATGGTGTATGTTTTTCCACTGCCTGTTTGACCATATGCAAATATCGTACCGTTGTAACCTAAGAGAGCTCTAAAAAATAAAAAAAAGAGGCATATAGTGGATATTGGTCTGACCAAGCAAAATATATCAGTGTAGTTAGTTAAATAGGATGTCTTATATACGCCTCCTTTACGTTCCCAGTGCAACATAGGGCTTCAAGCTGGAAACTTTAAGTTTCCGTAGCAGTAGCTTTACTTTTACTGGATGAGATTGCTAATCTCACACTCAGCCTTCGTCCTTTGCCCGCCTTCTCACTAGGTTAGTGAGGTTCAGGAGTGTGTCGGCCAGAGACTGAACTCCAAATCATAGATGTGGTTGTCAGACACTCTACCGCTGAACCATTGACGCCCGTATGGAAAGCAAATACTCAGATCTTTATGACATCTGATTCGACATTCTAATATTAAGACGAGTATCATGAATATACGCTAGGACTGTCAGGCCTCATGATTATTATTTTTTTTTCATCACACTTTGAAGACCAACCCAGTAACCTACAGGCAGTAAAAAGGTACCAGAAGAAGTAATATAGTAACAATAAAGACAATTTAAGTGTTGATTTACAAGGATTTGATTTGATTGGTTACAGGACTTCATCATGTCTGTTTTCGACATAGAACTTTGCACAAATGTGCGGAAGTTCAAGTCGCCACATTCCGTGTAGCACGCGAAGCAAGAGAAGAAAGTACAAGAAAAGCATAATAGAGACAGTAAACAGAGGTGTGAGACAAAGGAGTAATAAAGAAAAACAAAACAGTTTCATTGGAGATCATAAGTCACAAGGAGTGGATGCATCTGCACTAGCCACTGAGAACGATTTTGAGCCATGTCACCAATTGTTTCCAACCATTTGTTTTTACCGTTCCGAGGACCCCAGCCTGGAAGTCTACACCTTTCTACGTGGCTTAGACCAACTGTTGTGGATTTCATTGACTGATGCCAAGTTTTTGTTTGACCGCTGCTAGCTTTTTTCCAGTCTGACCCTATATCCGCTAATATTGCTCGTCGAGGGAGGCGATGGCTTGGCATACGTAACACATGTCCTAACCATCTCAGTCTTTGTAGCTTCACGACTTCGTCGATTGATTTCCCCTGTTTACCTAGAACTTGACGCCTAACCTCCATGTTGCTCACCTTATTATGCCACTTTACACGGGAAATAGAACGCAGGCACCTATGATCAAAGACAGCTAGTCTTTTCATGTCTTCCCACTGTCAGTGGCCAGGTCCCACAACCATAAAGGAGGACGGAGCGGACTGATGAGCAGTACACCCGCCCTTTGGTCGATAGTCGAACATCTCGTCTACTCCAGAGTCGGCGTAAACTAACAAATGCGAAACGAGCCCCTTGTATTCGTGCTGAGATTTCGTCAGAGATCAACCCGTTGGGGCTGATGGTACTTCCCAAATAAGTGAAGCGGTCAACGTGCTCTACCACTTCACTTCCTATTTTTAAACTAGGCGTCGATGTAGTCCAGTCCTGTAACATCATCTTGCATTTGGCGGGAGCGAATCGCATGCCAAACATTCGTAGATTGCGGCTCAAGGTGTTTAGAAGACTCTGCATTTCGTCAGCGTCTTCGCCTAGAAGGACTATATCGTCTGCATATTCCAAGTCAACGAGATTATACCCTGGTAGCAAGTCAATCCCTGAGTCGCTGAAGTCACTTAGGACTTCATCATGAGCTGACATCAGTTAGAAAACCGTGAGGGAGTATTCTACATCTGTCTCGTCCTAGTATGAAACTCTTCTTCAGTACGTGCTCACCACTGATGGAAAAGAAAGTTATTCTGTAGTTAACCAATTTCTTTTGTTTCCTGTTTTAATTGGAGTTTTAATCCGCCAAATAAATTAACCAAAGTCAATTAAAACAATTAATCCCTTTGATAAATTTGAATAAGGCATTTAGAAGACAAATTTCGCGGGATGATATCATCATTTCGTAGTTTCTTTACAATCGCTTTACACAACTAACATGGTTCACAATAATAATAAAATAAAAGGCTCGACAATTACTCAGTTATTATTAAACAAAGGTACATACCTGGCCTAGATTACTAGTCAGTCTGAAGCCCGGATAAAGAGGGAGGGCTGGGGCGCGGTGATAGCAACTTCACTCCCAAAACTTAACCGAATTGCTACGGAAACTTCAATGCATAAAAGTATATTAAAAATACTTAAAACATAAAAAATAACCTTATTTTTCATTGGAATCGAGGAAGTGAAATGGCGCAGACTGGTAAAAGCTTTTGAGAAGCCAGTCAACCGATGTGCCTTCTATCGATGAAACCAAAAATAAGGATGGGTACGTGAAATGTTCGTATAGTGTACGAAGCTGGAAATGTTTCCCAGGTAGCCGTAGAAATGAGAAGATGTGGAATAGAAGTTTTTGGAATCTGCGAAACTACAGGGGGAACGGACGAGGATGTCAAATTGAGAATCATCGGGAAGGCGAGAAACACATTCATCAACCTGAAACCAATCTGGAAATCTTCGTCACTCAACATCAAGAACAAAATCCAGTCGGATTTTCAATACAAACAATGTCAAGTCAGTTCTTCTATACGGATTAGGAACTTGGCGGGCGGGTCACAAAGAATATTTCCAGCAGGCTATTGAAGACCTTTATCAACAACTGTCTTCGCTATACTGAAGATAAGATGGCCATGCCGGAAAGAATCACCAACAAGAAACCATGGCTGGGAACAAACAAAACAAAACCAATCGCCAACTAGCAAATATGCAGGAGAAAGTGGAGATGGGTAGGACACTCGCTGAGAAGGCCGCTGGGTGTAGTCGAGCGCGCGTCAGGCCATTGCTCGAGTGGAAGCCGAAAGGGAAGCGGCGAGTGGGATGCCAGGGCAATGGTGACATGGAGGAGATCGTGTGAAGAGGAGTTGAAACAATATGGACAAAAATGGATGCAGTTGAAAAGTAGAGCAGAAGACAGAAGCAAGTGGAGATGTGCAGTTGAAGCCCTATGTTCCTCTAGGAACCCAAGGGAACAATAATAATAGCCAATCATATAGGTCAAGCAGTCTTTGGTAGGCAAAGGTTGAAGTCTATTGCACTTTTGTACACATAGTTTAGGATGTATGTGATTCATTCTCCTAATGCTTCTATCACCTTTAATAATAACCAACGTTGAATTAGAGTTATGTGATGAAATAATTGTGAAACAGTCATTAACATTGATTGATTTTGTGACCTGACATTAATAAGTGCTTTGAAATGGGTGATGATGATGACGGATTTCTATTCAAATGAATTGTATTGGGATTTTCTGTGTGTTTTTTAATAATCATTTTGGAACATGTTCTTTGTGGTGACTATATTGGAACATTCTATTGGTTCTACCTATATCGGCGTGTGTTACCGCAACTGCAGGTGAACTTGTAGATACAGTTTGAAGTAGAGTGCACAGAATTTCGTCCTTTAATTGTTGGTAGGTAGGTATGTACAGGGATCAAAAATGTTCAGTATGTGAGGGGAAGAGATGCGGCGTGGAATGTGCGTTTGATTCTACTATTATTAGCAAAAACAAGTGTATCATTCACATAACGTCTATATATCATAACGAGAAAACAAGCACACAAGCATCAAGTGAGTAGAAGTCAACACGATTGTTACCATGATGGCAGAAGTAGTGGTTGAATGATTTTCTTTTGTATACATAAGCGCTGGTTTCTCCAAATGAATGACTGAGGAAGGCTTCAGCAATACAAAGGAGACGAAAGCGTTTTGCATCTGACAGGTTGTTCTTCCCCTTGTAGATCACTTAGAAGGAGGTGTTTGTATTTTTTAATATTTATTATGTTTGTTGAAGTTTCTGTAGCAGTTTGATCAATTTTCCACCAGGGTAGGAACGCTAACCACACACACACACACACCCAACCCTATCTCTCTTTCCCGATCCTGGAACCAGTTAAAAATCTAGCCAGCCAGTAAACTAAGCGTGGTTGTTCAGTGTTCAGTCATAAAATAATTCAGGTAAACATCACTAATTGGAAATACAAGTTAAAATACTCGTCGAAATTTATGAAGACAGAGTTTAAGCAAGTTTTTCTGAAAGTTTTTGCGGTTGATTTTACTACAAATTAAAGAATTACAAAAAAAAATAATTAAATTAGACTATATAAGTACAATTTCCACTAGAATTTCAACTAATTAACACAATTTGCACACTTTATATATATATATATTAAAAAACAGTGGGCAGTCAGTCTTATAAAAGCATCACTAATAAATGTGGATACAGTTTACAATTGAATACATCTAGTCACAGAGATATGCACAGTTCAATAAAAGCATAACAAAAAAAAAAAGAAAAACCGAATGTTCCTTTTCCTCAACTTACAGACAAACGCTAAAAACAAAGTTTTACAGTAAAATCTATTAAGCCTACAAAATGAGGTAAATTCTTTCTGCTTATTGATTAATGTTTTTAGACGTCAGTCAATATGCTGGTATACAGTTTCAGATTGTCTTTATAATATTTTTAAATCCACATTTTTTTTAAAAGAAACCAACAGACTAAGTGAAGTATGTGAAGTATATTCCTTCCCTTCAATTAGTTCCTCATCATTGACTAACTGGCTTTGTATAGTTTATTTTTACACCAAAATGTTTTACCAGTCAAGTGGTTACTTTAGTTGATCTATTTTATAGCAGTAGGGGAATAAAATTAAGAGGTTAATTAATTAGTAACAAGCTATCGAAGTCTTAAAGGAGGGATTTGTTTCGGCGGAGGTCTGAATAGAGCTGCAATACGCAGTTCAATACTAGCTCATCTGGTTGATACTGACTGGAAATCAAGTTGACTCCAACAAAGCTTTCAAAGTTACTTATCATACCATATGTCACCCAACCTCTCGCATGGTTCACAAGCACGACTTATATATATATATATATATATATATATATATATATATATATATATAAATATTAGGAGTTGATCACGGATTGATATCAGTTAGAGAACCATTGGAAACCATCACTGGAGTACTGGACAGTTGTCCCATCCAAGTTTGGGAATCATCGGCAGTACGCACCCACTGCAGCTCGAACCCAAGACCTTCCGGTTACAAGAAGTCGTGACCAGTGAGATCCAATTAGATGTCACGTGTATGGATGGATGTCCCACCTACAACAATGGTTGGGGTCGCGCTAAATTACGCATTGGTGGAAGTTAGAATTCATGAGCCATTGAATTGGGTCCCACAAAGCTGAATGGTATACGAGCTTGCCTTGTAACCGGAAAGTCTTGGGTTCGAATCCCAGTGGGTGAGTGTTGCCGATGATTCCCAAACTAGTGAGATGAAACAGCTGTCCAGTACTCCAGTGTTGGTTTTCAATGGTTCCCTAACTGATATCAATCCGTGATCAACTCATAAAAACATACCTAACCCTTACAAAGCAAACTATAGAAAAAATATATATACAATAGGGGCAATCGGAATTCATCTGAACAGGCCAGATCTTTGTGTCAGTTCAAATGAAATTTGTACAGCCCCTTTCTTTGCCATGGCCAACTACATAATATGCACTAAGTTGTAACTATATTTTGACTTTGTCAATCTTTTTACAGTTCTAGCTAATTCTATTAACTTTTGTATTGTACTTTACGTAACTCTCTTCTGAGTCATCCTATTCTTCTTCATTATTTTACAATTTTTATGATTATGTAATAACTTGTTGCCAACCTGTTTTTTTAACTCTGTAATTAACTAATTTCCATCTTTCCTTCAAAACCTTGAGGAACTCAACTCAACAACAAATCACAGAAGACTTAACGTGTGAAAAATACGATTCGCAGATGTATGGCATAACTTTCTAAGAAACGGTCACGAGCAATAGAGAATGACCTTCAACAAGGAAAACCAATCAGAAGACTTTGCTCCTCTACTAACAATAACGCTAATAATAATGTACATAAAAACCTATAAATATCTCATGATTTTATCAATAAACGATCTGTTGACTGGCATTTGTCTTCTGTCGTTACATTGTTACTAAACTCTATATTAGTTAATTGTTTTGATAACTTTTCACCTCTTAATTTCACCATCCTTCCCAGCTATATCTAAAACTGATTAATTAAAATAACCATTGGATTGGTGAAAACAATTTTGATGTACAAAAAAACACCGTTTATTAATGTAGAGTCAGCCAGCCAGTCGATGATATGGAAATAATTGAGAGGGAATGCATATTTGGTTTCTCAGTTTGTTGTTTTTTTAAAATATATAATATATTCAAATGAACTGTCGTCAAGATTTCACAGAATAGTTCTAAGATATTTGGGTGCCAAGTGAGAAGTAGACATTTGTTAAAAATTATATTTTGGGAATCATCGGCAGTTCGCACCCACTGGGATTCGAACCCAGGACCTTCCGGTTACAAGGCAAGCTCGTATACCATTCAGCCACTGGGACCCGATTCAATGGCTCGTGATTTCTAACTTCTACCAATTCGTGATTTAGCGCGACCCCAACCATTGTCGTTGGTGGGACATCCATCCACACACGTGACATCTAATTGGACCTCACTGGTCACGACTTCTCACTAGAACTCAGGAAACTCCAACCTGTAGCAAGTCACCAGCGAGCATCAGATTAACTTTCTATAGTTTTGGTTTGTAAGGATTAGTTATGTTTTACGAGTTGATCACGGATTGATATCAGTTAGAGAACCATTGAAAACCAGGGAGTACTGGACAGCTGCTGTTTCATCCTAGTTTGGGAATCATCGGCAGTACGCACCCTGGTTTTCAATGGTTCTCTAACTGATATCAATCCGTGATCAACTCGTAAAACATAACTAATCCTTACAAACCAAAACTATAAAAATTATATTGTTAAAATCTCAGCGAGATTGAAATGAATAATTCCAACGTTTCGTTCGGTAATCTAGTCAGAACTTCTTCAGGGAAATTAATCGAAATTAGCATAACAGAGGTTTATATATAAAAGGAACATCTCTTGTTTTTTCAAAAACTTTGTCCAATCATGAGTCATAAAACAAATATTAACAAGTATAATAAACAAAATAGTCCGAGTTGTGATCAAAATTTGACCTCAGACTTACAAATATTGATCTACCTTTGTTGAACACTTTAAACACAGTGTGTATGTGTGTGTGCGGGTAAACAGTTGTAAAACAATGTCTTAACGTCTCCATAAGTAGATATAGACAGTCGGGAACTTTGACTTAGAACAAGACATATAAGCGAACAATATTGTTTTCAATTAGATCTTCTTCAGGCTTTACTCTAATTTACATAGACTTATATATATAAAATTTTAACCAATGACGGTGATTTAGTGGATCAAATAATAATAGTAATCATAATAATACAAATAATATAATAGCAATAATAATGTGGTAAATGTTTTGAACGAAGTTAATAACGATGATTATAATAATAACAAAATATTGTTAATAAGGCTTATATAGGTGATAAGAATAACAAAGTTAGTATATGCATATATGTAGACAATTCAATAAATAAATAAATTAGGTCAAATCAAATGGAACGATAATCAGAGTTTAAATAAATATCATAAAAGTACCAAGTATTATTAATTAGTGATACATATCCATTCTTATTTATTAATCAGGATTTCCTATGCATCAGTTAACATAACACCTCGAGCTGCTTCAGAAAGAAGAAGACAAAGCAATAAGTTCGACAGGGTGCTTCAACTAAACTCTAATCCTAAACACCATAATTTTGAAAATACGTCTAATCATAAAATTCTAGATACTAACAGTTTGAACAGACATGAAGGTGTGATGTGTATTAGCTGACGCATAGGAAATCCTGATTAATAAATAAAAATGGATATGTATCACTAATTAATAATACTTGGTCAAAGTTCCCGACTGTCTATATCTACTTATGGAGACGTTGAGACATTGTTTTACAACTGTTTACCCACACACACACAATATATATATACACTGTGTTTAAAGTGTTTAACAAAGGTGGACTAATATTTGTAGGTCCGAGGTCAAATTTTAATCACAGCTCATACAATTTTTTTTCTTATCCTTGCTGATACTTGTTTCACGACTCATGATTGGACAAAGTTTTTTTAAAAACAAGAGACGTTGCTTTGATATATATAAACCTGTGTTATGTTAATTTCGATTAATTTCCAATTATGCACATGGAAAGGGTTTGACTCCCGGTAGACTTACTCCAGAACCTCATCTTGCCGATATTAAGGCTAGAGAAAAAGGTAAGTTAGGCGTCGAGCTAGCCAACCCACCCAGTAGGAGTAACAGCATCATCACTGAAACTTCAAGTCTCAAAACTTAAAGCCGTGTCTTCCTCTCTCGGAATTCAAAGGAATGCAAAAGAAAAAGCTGATTCTAAGGCAACTTTGGAAATTAAGCACTCAAGAACAGGAAGAATCGATCCAATTCAAAATAGACTGCGAAATTTGTTTCGTAAGAGCCAATTGTAAGGTGGATAAAAAACAGTATTCAAAAACAGAGAAGTCAGTAACAAAAGACTTATTGAATTGGATTTTTTGATTTTCCCGTCGATTGATTGGACCGAATTGCTCGGTCTCAGGTTGACATGTCGGCTTCTTGTGCAGATGCTTCGACGATGTCTGGGCATTTAGTTAGGATACAATTGGTGGATGGTGACTAGCAGTGGAATCCAGGATGCGCATTTCGTCCTATTTGGGACTCGTCAGCTGGATGTACCTGCATTTCTCAGTGAGTGATGAGAAACTATGGGTACTGGGTTCGAGCCTCGGTGGGAACATCATCACTCACTGAGAAATGCAGGTACATCCAGCTGACGAGTCCCAAATAGGACGAAATGCGCATCCTGGATTCCACTGCTAGTCACCATCCACCAATTGTAACAAAAGACTTAATTTATAGGCTACAAGAAAACCAACTACGACAATCGTAATAGCCATATTTCAAAAAAAAGTATATTTTGGTTCAAACCCCCTGTGGTGCGTGAGTACTGATGAAGAGTCCTAAACTAGTCTGGGGTGTACTCCTTGGCGGTTTTCCAATGGTTCTCTGACTGATGTCAGCTAATGATCAAGCATACCCTACAACCAGTCAAATCCCTACAAACAAACACTTCAAAGGATACCTTTGTTAACAGTCTAATCAGAAATGAAACCGGTAAGAAATCACTTCTCCATTTTTAAATTAAGTGAACAATAAGGTTGATGAAGTTTAATAACGACTCCAGCTTCTGATGGACTGAACTAAATTGGTGAAGGAAGCTCCTGTCCATCTGAAGCAAAATACTAAGCTGTATCATCTTGGAGAGAATCAAACACGTCGACCTGGATGAAAAACTTCTACCGGAACAGGTTGGATTCAGGAGAAACAAGTCATGTTTTGATCAAATCTTCACACTAAGGATCACCATTCAAAAGAGTTTGGAATGGCAGTCACCCCTCTATCTCAACTTCATCGACTTTGAAAAGGCCTTCGATAGCACAGCGTCGGTCGAGAGGTGATTTGGAAACTACTTCGCTACTACCAAGTGGTGCCGCCGACAATAATACATCTCATTCAACAGTTGTACGACAATGCTGGATGGCAAGTAATCCACAACGGGAAACTTACGGAAGCCTTCGAAGTGAGGACGGGAGTGAGACAAGCTGGCTAGCTGTCTACTATCTCCAATGATTTTCCTGAGTGCAGTAGATTGGATAATGCGACAGACAACGGCAATGAGGAAACAGGCATAAAATGGACTCACACAAAAAACTTGGAGGGTCTGGACTTCCCCGATGATATATGTCTGATTTCCCACAAACTGGAAGATATGCAAGTAAAAAGCAACAAGTTGGCGATGGAAGAAGCATCAAAGATAGGACTTCAGGTGAACATACAGAAAACAGAGGTGATGAAGATTCCTGGCCAATACCAACAGCAACAACAACAACAACAGACAACAATCAGCCACCATAAACGGGAGAAATCTGAAATAAGCGATCTCCTTCACCTACCCACCTACCTACCTGGGAAGCATCGTTTCAACTACACGCTGACGGAACTGACGAGGATGTCAAAGCCAGAATCGAAAAAGCAAGACAAGCTTTCATTACTCTTAAGTCTGTGTGGATGTCAACAGCACTCAGAATCAAAAATAAGATCCGGATTTTCAACTCCAATGTGAAGTCAGTGCTACTCACCATGCATATCAGAGACTTGCATTGCGCGTCATAAAGAGCACCTCAAACAAACTACAGACCTTCATTAACAGTTGTCTTCGCTCAATACTCAAGATCAGATGGCCAGAAAAGATCAGAAACAGGATCTCCTGGAAGTGGACCAACGCAGCAGAGGCCGATTGTGCAACAAATAGGCAGGAAGAAATGGAGATGGATTGGCTGGCCATACTCTGAGGAAACCATCAAGTGAGTGACATCACTAGACAAGCCATTGCTCGAGTGGAACCCGAAAGGGGAGCGGCGAGTTGATCGTCCAAGGGTTACTTGGTGGAGGTCATGTGAAGAGGAGATGATCGCATGTGGGCAGACGTGCAACCAGGTGAAAATGTTGGCAGAGAAGTGAACGCAATGGAGAGGTGCAGCTGAAGCCCTATGTTCCTCTAGGAATTAAAGGAAATAATAATAAGTCACAAGAAGTGGATGCATCTGCGCTAACCATTGAGAACGATTTTGAGCCATATCACTGATTGTCTACAGCCATTGGTGTTTACTGTCCCGATGACCCCAACCAGTCAACAAGTCTACACCTTCCTACGTGGCTTAAACTAACTGTTGTGGATTTCATTGACTGATGACACCATGTTTTCGTTTGACCACCACTGGCTCTTCAGCAAACTGACACTATATCAGCTAACATTGACCATCATAGAGAAAGGCGATGGCTGGGCATGTATGCATAACACATGTCCTTACCGTCTCAGTCGATTTAACTTCACAGTCTCACCGATTGATTTCCCCTCCCTACTTACCTAGCACTCAACCGGAGCCTAACCACCTCAATATTGCTCACCCTATTATACCATTTCACACAGGAGAGAGAACACAGACACTTATGATCAAAGACAGCTAGTCCTTTCATGTCTTCCACTCTCAGTGGCCAGGTCCCACACCTATAAAAGAGAACGCAGCGGAATGCTGAGCAGTACACACGTCCTTTGATCGATAACTAGCCGAATATCACGTCTACTTAGCCAGATACAGCATAAGATGGTATATGCAAAACTAGCCCTCTGTATCCGTGCTCAGATTTTTTGGCGATCAACCCGTTGGGACGGCTGATGCAACTTCCCAGATAAGTGAAGTGGTCAACACGCTCCACTAACGACTTCACTCCCTATTTCTAAGCTAGGAGTCAGTGTAATCCAGTCCTGTAGCATCATCTTACATTTGACAGCAAGAGTGCGCAAATCCCACGCCAAACATTCGCAGACTACAGCTCAAGGTGTTCAGAAGACTCTGCATTTTGTCAGTGTCTTCACCCAGAAGGACTATCTATATCAATCCTCAATTATCAGATGACTAAGTTAACAACCTGAACGCTGTTAGTCTAAAACTCAACCCCCCTCTTCATTGGTTACTTCTGCTAGAGTCAATATTATAAGTAACATGTCCAAAAAAATAACGCCCAAAAAAAAGTTTTCCAATCGTCAAAAAGAAACATACTTTTCTATAACTGGTTTAGCGACATGATTGAACACTTGATCTTGTCCATATTTTGTATCAAAAATAGTGTCAAATTTAAAGTTGTGAAATTCTTTCCTATTACATATTACACCGTCTTGTTGAATATCTTTAGCACATTCAAAACTGATTTTAGGCTTTTTAGACTGGGGTTGTTGTTGTTTTTCCTGTTGCTGTCGGTGATTGTAATCTGCATCGTCTATATTATACTTCTATTTTGAAAAATGAAATATATATATACATCAATTCATAATATTAAATATTTCAATGGTAAAATTCGGTACAAAACATTTAAACGAACAGTGATATTGTTGTTTTCAATTAGATCTCATCAGGCTTAACTCTAATATACCTACATAACTTTATAAATAAAAATTCAAATATAAACCAATCATGGTGTTTTGTCTATAGGATAATAAGATTATTATTATTTCCTTTAATTCCTACAGGAAAATAGGGCTTCAGCTGCGCGTCTCCATTGCCTTCGGTTCTCTGCTAGGGTTTTCACCTGACCCCAAGTCTGCCCATATGTGCTCATCTCCTATTCACATGGCCTCCTCCACCAAGTCACCCTTGGAC